CAAAGGCACACACGAAACCAACAACGCAGCGGAATAAAAAATAAATAAATAAAAATGAGCGTGACTTACCGTCGATCGCTTCATCCATGGGTGCACTACTCTAGTCGGCGGCACTAGCACAGTCTTCTACGCACAGTTTTAGTTTTCTTAAAATCTCAAAATGAAAAATCTAGAATTTATTCCTACCATGGATAGGATCCTTTAAATTAGGAAAATATTCTATTTCATTTATAACCAAATTCAAACAACATAATGAAATTACAATGACACGCTTATGTTTTAATTATATCCTTATATAAATGGCATTTTAAATTCAATCTCATCCATTAAATCTAATTTTTTAGATGGTGGAGATGGGATATCATGATCTCGTCTACAAAGGTGGTCTCATTGGATCCAGCCCATATATATATATATATATATATATATATATGTGTGTGTGTGTGTGTGTGTGTGTGTGTGTGTGTGTGTGTGTGTGTGTGTGTGTGTGTTCCTACTCAAATCCGGCCGCAACTTCCCATGCGGTCAATGCGGCCGCTTGAAAAATGCACCAATAGTGTTAACAAAAGGAACCAATAGTGTTAGGAAAGTGCACACCAATGAAATGAACAAATACACCAAAAAACGCACAACACACCCAAAATAATGCACCATAACTCCACACCCCTAATTTTGCATTTCGAACTCTGGTGCTTTTGCCATAAATATTTTTATAGCATTTCAAAGTGTTTTAAAATTTTAGGGGGCGTTTACTAACAGGAAATTTTCAAGAATTTCCGGAAATTGAAAATTGAAAATAGGCTAGGTGTTTACTATGCTCTTTTCCCATTTTCAAAGTTGAGAATTATTCCTCCTTTTTCAAGAAATTTGGAACACAATCAAAAGTTGTTTTCAAATCTGAGAATAACACGCGTGAACAGTAGATCCACCCTTCGAATCCGCTAGCCCAAATTCTAATTCCTAAATCCCTAATCGCCTTCCGTCCTTCACCTTCCCTGGCTCTCCGCGACTCTATTTCTCGTCTTCTCTAGAATCTCCACGACTTCCACTCCAATACTCCACAATCCACACCCCCACACTCGTCTATGCCTCAAGCCTTCTGGCTTTCACAGACCACAGTTCCACCTTCAGCGAGGGCGACACTTCAGTCAGTTGGTCTGCGGTCACTCCCTCGGCCCTCCGTAGTCCATCCTCCGACGGCAACGCCGCCTTCGCAGCTTCGCTCCTCTCTTCCTCAAACCTCAGTCCTCTCACACAATCTCACGTTTCCTCAACTTCTGCTGGACGTCGGTGACTCCTCCCTGCCCAGTCGGCCGGTGACTCCTCCCTGCCCAGTCGGCCAAGCCATTCCACTGCTTCAAATTCCAATCAACCACTTAGCCAGTAACATACTTAGCCCAATAAATTTTTTTAATTACTATTTTTGTGTTTTTAAATTGGATTTGAAAATTATATATTAATTGTGACTTTGGCACTTGGCAATGTGCATGCGAATTGTGACTTTGGCACTTGGCAGTGTGCATGCGAATTGTGATTAGGATTTTGGAAAATATGTATTAATTTTAACATTGGCACTTGGCAGTGTCAATGTGTATGTGATTTATATTTTAGAAATGATGTATTAATTGGCACTAGAGAAGAATCAAACAAGTTTTCAATTTTTGTTTTCGAAAACGGGGAACTGAAAATAGAGAATTAAAAAATGAAAACAGAGAATTGAAAACAGAAAATTGAAAACAGAGAATAAAAAACAGAAAATAATTTTCTGTTAGTAAACGGGCCCTTACATTTTCATCCCACTCAAGTATATTTTTGGCTCCGCCCCTAACTATATATTATGTAGTCTATCAAAAACATTCTTTTATAATTTATAACGTATTTTGTATTTGAACCTTATTATGAGCGTTTAATATTTTGTCATTGACATTTCTAACGGCATTTAAACTTCGCCCCCACTCTGATGATTTTCTGGATCCGCCCTGTTCATGGGCATGGGGCAGCCTGTGTACCACTGCTCTCCAAAGTGATGATTTTATTAATGTTTGCCCAACGAGCGTGGAGTAGCCCATGGGACTATCCCCTATTCACCATTTAAACTCGTTTTTAGTCATTTCTACTCAGTTTCTACCCATATTCGAACCCTAACCAATTTCTTTCATTTCCTTTCATATTTTTTTGGTTGCATTAGGCTTAGATTTAGGTTACTAAACACTTTGGAAGTTTTTATTGAAGAATTTACACTTCGATTTCAAGACCCATAAATAGATAATACTTAACCTAAAGGGTAGAAATGCCTAACCTAAAGTTTTTTTAGATTTTGAAGGAATTGTGCTAGATTATTGTTAATGTTTGATTGGCCACATTCATTGCATATTTTGGAGGATTCTTGACCTTAATGAGTGTTGGGTCAAGATTCGAAGCCACTCCTTACATAATCCATATTTCGCACTATGAGAATATGAGAAATATGGGGATTTAGATGCTTGTTGTTCTTGAAGGACTTGGAATTAGTACGCCATGATAGTTGGGCATTTTTTAGTCCTAATTCTTGTTTAGATGATCACGGAAGTGATTTTTAGACTAAAATTCTTACGTTCATCTTCTCAATTTCTCGGTTATGTGTTTTTCCCTAATTTTATAGGTTTGCTTGCATGTATTAAATTTTGCTCCCTAACTTTGAGTTCTATTTTTTTCATTTCAGGTTTATTCTCTTGTTTGGATTTTGGGTTCCTCTATAGTTTATTATTATTATTATTATTATTATTATTATTATTATTATTTTTTGCAATTAGTCGGGTGCATGAGATTTATTTATTTAACTAGTCTTTTTCTAATACGCAAAAATATATGTCCAAATATTTATATTTTAAAGAGTTAATTCCAGCAATGATCATCCGATTATGTTGATTTTTCACAATTGGTTCCCGATTTTTAATTTGGACAATTTAGACACTTGATTTTAAAATTCTTTCCAACGTTGGTCCTTCCGTCAGATGAAGGTTAAGTGGACGTCAATTTGAGGGGTAAAAGCGTCTTTTCACCGATATCTATAGCACTCTCCGTCGCCGGACTTTGCCTTTCGCCAGAGCCTTTTTTTACCGTCGCTAGCTCATATCGGCCGTCATTGTTTCTCATGTCAGGTTTCTCTCACCTCACCATTATGTGCATAAACTGATATACATGTAAAAATGGTGAGAACTGTGAAGAGTCACCATGAAGGGGATGAAGATGACGACATGGAATTTTCTTCCAGAACTCTTGATGGTTCCCGTACATAATATATACATCTAGTATATGCTCTATACTGCGAAGATTATTTTCCTATTGAAGTTGTTGCAATTCTGATGTTTGCAATTAAAGTGGAAGGGAGGCACAGTGATCAGAAGGCAAACACACTTTGGTCCAAGTATTATGAGACAGAGCAACGCCGGATCGGAGGAACAAAATCAACGAGAGACAAACTTATTTTTGGTTGTTTTTAACTGGAAATTGTTTGATCAGCGCCGGATCGGAGGACTAAAAAAACCCTAGCCCTTACTCGTCTCTCTCTAGTGGCTTGCACTCGTCTCTCCGACGATGACGACAGTGGCGTGAGCAGGGCGGCGTTAGCAACGAAGGCATGAAGCAGAGGCAGCGTGAACAGATCTCTCTTCATCTTCCCATTGCCATCCATCAAGTATTTTATTCTCTTCTTTTATTTTTCATTCATTTTCTCTTCAAGCAGATGCGTGGTAGCAAGAGATCCAGCTCGAAACACCAGCAAGCTCAAGGACGCGAAGGTTTTATTAGCAAATATATACTCAGTACTTGAAACGACACTTTTACCCCTCAAACTAATGTTCACTTAGCATTCATCCCATTAAAAGAATAACATTGGAAAGAATTCTAAAGTCACCGTTGCTGGAATTAACTCTACTAGTAGTTGCACCCGTGCGATGCACGTCCATTATATTATGGTGCAATATATAAAAGATTGTTATATCGAAGATATAAGACCAATAAGGTTTTAGATATAATAAATAGACAAAATATGATTTATTGGTGTTCCATAAACAAAACAATTACACATTATTAAAGATTTCTTTGTAAACAACATTTTGAGTCTTGTTTAAAAGACGTCTAGATTCCCCACAAATTAAGACCTTAAAACCGTCAAGATTACTCACCCTAGAAACTGTTACATATAATTGGTCATGGTTAAAAACTTTTTTTTTTCAGTAACAAACTAACTTGTGAAAGCGTTTGACCTTGACTTTTGTTGATTGTCATTGCATATGACAACATAAGTGAAAACTACTTTCTTTGAAATTTAAATGGAAATCTTGGGTCTGAAGGAGTAAAAGATAGCATTGATATCAACACATTTGTACTTGCGTTGTTGTCACATAGGATTTGTGCCTCAATAACATGATTTCTCAACTGTGTTACTATCAACCTTGTACTATTGCACAGTCCCATGGAGTGATCTATATTTCTCAGTAGCATAACTGGAGTTCCAACTTTCAAAGTTAAGTCGGTAGATTTAGCAATCTGGAGAATACATACCAAAATTGAATAAAATTCTTTGTGTACATAGGGTCAAAAAAAATATGTACATTATTGAGAGCATACTATAAAATTATGTACCTTTAATACACAAATAATATACATCACCATATATAAAAAATGTATTATAAGATTCATGGTCCACACAGCTATGTGGACCATAGTCCACACAATAATTTGCCAAGTTAAACATATATAATAAGATATATTAATAATTACATGTCTATAATCTTATAATATGAAGTATACTATAAAATGATATGTTAATAATTCAATAATTATACATAATTAAATAATAACTATATATATATATATATATATATATATATATATATATATATATAAATGTTGTCAATGAATCAGAAATTAATTTCTGGACAATAACTAACCCAATCTTCAAGCCCAACAACCGACCCAAATGATTAAAAATAATCCAACCCTACTTTCTCTGGCGATTCGTCTTCTCTCTACTAACACCGCCAATTCGTTTTCTCTCTACCTCCCTACTTTCTCTCTGGCGATGTCCGAAACTCCGAATCACAGTGTTCTACCCTTGCCGTTCTTGGTCTCTACTTTCCGTTTTGATCCTGTGTTTTTCTACACCCAATCGCACATATAAACAGTTGGTGTTGTGTAAATCTTACGTCTAAATTAGTATTTTAGGGTTTATGTGTTTTTCGTTAGCAGATCGGAACTTCTACATGATGTTAATGTTAAGAGTTGGCGAAATCAGAGGAAGGATGTTGAATAAGCTAAGTAACCGATCCCTATATCTATTTCTCTATATAATTCATTTTTAATTTCAACACCTATCTACAATTTAGTCTAAAAATACTGGTAGATGATTTCATCCTATGATTGACCATATTAGGATTTTTTTTTGATAAATTGTTAACATGCAAGCGAGAGAACAACAATGGTAAAAAAAAATTTGTACACATGCATCGATTTTTCTATCCCTTTACTCCGTTCATTCATTTTTCTGTATGTTTACTTTTATATTTCTGTATGTTAGAGTAATAGTCTATTATTCTTATCATTCACTATTTGAATATAATTAGGGTTTTTCTAACTACAGCAGAGTGAATATTTGTGAACTCAATCTAAAGTTTCCTCTGTAAAAAATATATATCTGCGGAGTATTATATTTGAAATGATTTTTTATGCTAACAGATTTAGAAATGATTATGCTGACAAATTATTAGCTCTGGAATGAAATTGCAAATGAACATAAAACTAATTGATTCAAGTTTTTCATTTCAGATTCAGAAAAGGAAGGCTATTACCATGGTAAGAGGCATATGTAGTGCATAGAAGAAGGCATGATCAAGTAAGGTTGAAATTTAAATATTAGTTTAGATTATTATACCTATATGCTTCCTCTTGCTGCCTATAACTGTAGAACTAATTATTTGCCTCATAGTATCCATTATATTTTTACCATGTCGTATTTAAGCTTTGAGTATATTATATGTTTCTGTTTGAGTGCTCCAATGCTTTCTGTTCAATCTAAATGTGTTACTATTGTATGAGGTTAATCTTTTTTTGGTAGTTTGCTAGTGATGATATTTAAAGTCTTTTTCAGTTAGTAAATAATCAAATCTTTGGTAGTAAAATCTCATGTATTTCAAGAATCACATTACAATATATAGATGGAATGGAATTTAGAACACAGACTTAGTACTTGGAAACACTCAGTGCAGATGGATATACTAATTAAACACATTTTAAAACCTTTGTGTGGCACAATCTTGTTCTGCTAACTGAGTGTGTTTGCTTCCTTCTCTTTACATTATGTGTGGCACAATCTTGTTCTGCATATACTTCCACAAGGACAACATTCATATCTTTAGCCCTACTCTGTGCTTTATCCTCTTCCTGCATACATTCACATATACATAACAATAGAAACTAATAAACAGATATTTAGAAATGTTTAAAAAAATAAAACATAGGTAAATAACTAAGGCATGTCTTTAGATAAAATTCAAACAAAAATAAGTTTGTTGAGCAATTGTTCAGCACTAACACAGTGCAATTGACCAGGTACCAAACACATCACTTAAAAAAGATTAAAAACCACACTAAGGTGGTAAATAGTCTGTAGTCCCACAAAACTCAAACTTTTTCGTGCTTCACAGTCACATCTTTTTCTTCTTGTTAAAAGAAGAGAATTGGTCCATCAGGGTTCTCTTCACACCAGTAGAATCTTCAGGGCCAGTGTCAAGCCTTTGAGACTGTTGTGCACTTAATAGACTGTTGACTTCATTATCTCCATTAGAAGCTTCCTGTAAATTATAAATAAGAAGTCCCCAAGTTAGCGTATTATGAGGGACCGTCAAGATTAACTTCTAACATAGGATGAAAAAGGGCTAAAGACAACTAAGTATTGAACTAAGAATAATAATCTGATCTGATTAATCCTCTTCCTCTTCATCCTCATCTATCATTCTGGATATCAAATCCTTGTCTTGGTTATCAATCAACTTAGAACAGTATGTCGACACTAAGGTTTCATCCCTTAGAACTCTCATCACAGTGTAGGCTGGATTAGCTCCCCTCATATGCTCCATTTTTAATGATATCTTAAATATCATTCTCAAACCAACTAATGATTCCAACTCTTTTGGAATGTATAACTGTTATGTGAAAAAAACATATGTAAAAATTTGTTAACTGGCAGCCCAATCGTCCAGGCCTACTCTAAATATAATAAGTATTAAGGGAAAATTGTAAAAAATGCCCCTCTATAATATGTCAATTATCAATGTCACCCCTGAATTATGAGTGGTGTAAATGTTGCCCCTCAATTATCAAAATGGTGCACATATAGCCCCTCCCGTAACGGACATGTGGTTCCCACCGCTGTCCATCGCTGGTACTTCGAATCGAGGGAGGGAAAAAATAACTAAATTACATATTTACTCCGATTTAACGATAGGATCACAAATGTCTTTTGTTAAAGAGATAATAGAAAAGCATGCATGTTTACATCAAAATTGACTGTTTCTGTGTATTAGCACCTTTTATATGTACAAATGTAATGATAATAGTCTATTTAATAGGCAAGAATGTCTCTATTGAGAAGTGTAAGACACCTACACTTTTTTCATTAATTCTGTGTATGTGTATGTGTGTGTTCATTTACATGCCCAATTTTTCATTAATTCTGCCTTTCATTCAATTATGCCTTTAAATCAATTATTTAATGTTCTTTTATTATACGCAGGCTATGTATCTATAAAATAATAGCATATGTGGTTACAAAATGAGAGATTGATATCCTCAGCAACTAAAAATATTTTTTTTTTTTTTGCTTTTACATTCTTTTTCCACCATAAGTGATTTTGTTACTTGATGTTGAATGATGACACAATTCTGTTTTGTAACTACACAGCATATACCATGGCATTGTGTCAGAATAGTATATTGATAGAAAAAATGTGTAATCACTTATAGTTAATTTGCATATACTACCATGTTACAACTCAAATTTTTGACACAATTCTGTTTTGTAACTACACAGCATATACCATGGCATTGTGTCAGAATAGTATATTGATAGAAAAAATGTGTAATCACTTATAGTTAATTTGCATATACTACCATGTTACAACTCAAATTTTTTAAGAAATGTTGAAGTCCTTATTGCTGTCCTTGGTTAGAATTCAAAATATTCTTTTACAATAATCTTAGCAATTGAACTTTAGCATATATTTTGAGTTGATCTAAGTTTTCCTTTTTTTTTTCTTTATGTTGTCTGTCATTGTTGTGTGCAATTCTATTTGCAGATTATTACATGTTGGACTAACGTATGTTTTATTATAGGAAATATGCTTCTGAGGTATTCAACCCAACATCAAACAATTTGAAAGTGTCTGAGAAGGACTTGCTAATATTGCTGGATGCAGTTGGACAAAGGTAATTTTAAATTATTGTTTTCAAAGTATTTTAATCACATCTGCATATCTGATTTTTAAGCCTACTGTTGTACTTGTTTAATCACACACCATTGCATATAAAGCACTTCTATGAAAGTGCATACTGTACTGTCACAGATACAATATGCACTTTGGCAGTGCATATTGTATGAATCTGTATTAAAAAAAACAACACACAGATACATAGAGTAGTGCATATAGATATATAAATTACAGAAACAATTTTGTAATCCATTCAAATAGAAGAAAATTAGATTTTCTTCTCCTGTTTAATGAGAACATCATTTGATTTCTTAATGGGAGCAGGCTTGTAGGCTTGTAGGCTTGTAGAAGGTTTTGGTATATGAAATGTCTTTTTTAATTAAACGAAGCATAAATAGAATATAAAATTTGAGTATAAACATAACCACAGGGCCAAACTGTGAGTGATTAATGGCAAGAAGCATAAATATTCTATACACCTGCTTCCTGTAGAATGTTATACAGGGCATAGTTCTTTGCTTCTTAAGACTATACACTATGGTGTCCCCAACCATTGTATTTAATTATTAAATACATGTAGAATATATATGCATGCTTCTTAATTTATTTTTTTCATTGATTGTTTACCTCAACTTTCAATGCCTGCAAATCCTTAGGAATGTCTTCCAATGCTTCACAGTTCTTTTCATCACATTCAAATATCTATTGCATAACCATCCATCTATTGCATACCCTTAAGATGTGAATTTGTCAAGTGGTGTATTCTAACTAAAGCATGCATATAGAATATAGAACAAAATAAATAACAAAATAAGAAAAAAAAAAAAGCATAGCATATAAAGCAGGTCTAAAAAGTGCATACTGTCAAAATAGGCACAAACATCACAGATACAATATGCACTTTCTAGTGCATATTGAAAGAAACTGTTTTCAAAAAACAACACACTGATACACACTATAGTGCATATTGTCAATAAATTACACAAAAACAATTCTTTTAATAAATTCAAATAGAAGAAAATTTGATATCTTAACTTCTTTGCTTGATGAACATTGGTCTAGTATGTTCTTCTTAGTTTCTCTTGACTCCACTGATTCATCATTGTCATCAAACCTTATCTTTCCACTGCTTGGCATATAAGAACTGCCAACTTCATCCCAAGATTCACTCTCCCGTTCCCCAAAAAAATTAGTTAGACAATGAATTAATAAAATAACTAAGTGAATAGATTAGGTATGTACCTCAAAATCCTGCTCTTGATCTTTTTCATCAACCAACCTAGAGAGATGGACATAATCATCATTCAAAAGAAGGGCAGTATATTTCTACGATTAAGGTATATAAATAAAAACAGTGTACACCGGAAAGTTGAGACAATAGATTAAAAAAAAATCAAACTGGAAATCTGAAACAATAAATTAAAACATACCAATCAATTCCTTATCTGGAACCAACTTCTGACTTGCTAGCTTCACTGATAGTTTGATTAGTCTTCAACCTTCACGTTTGTAGCTGGATTAGGACACCAATTCTTGGAAGACACATTCTTGACTCTTAATCAAACCTGTGTTTAGATCTTCAGATACAATATATATTCCTAATAGTTTTTTTATATGTACTTGGACAGAGGTTTTTTCCAATGTAAAGGGGAGCCATTCTCAGCCATTGATTGCAAAGAATGGCTGGAAACACGAAAGGGTTAAACGAAGATGGGTGGATTGTTAGTATGCTGAATTTATAGAACACCTTTGAAGGTTGAAGAGTTCGACATGTTGCTGGATTGAAGGCTGTAGAGTTCCAAAAAAACGCTGTCATTATTGAAGAGCAATAATAGCTGTGCCCCGGAATCTGAAACGCCACAAAGTAGAAAGCTGCTTTTGAATTGATTTGAATCAATCTTAATTTATTTCTTTAACATGTGTATTTATTCGGAACAACTTCCCACAACTTGAGAGAACCAAAACTGGTGGCCAAGCATAAATTTAGCATTCAATACTTATACAAATACATTTATTTGTTATATTTTATTAGCAAAATAAATCTGAAACATATCAATAATGTGGGTTGTTATCCAAAACGGTGTAGTATAGTTTGAGCGGGAAAATGGAGCCATTTCATTGGCCGAAATCTTATGGCTTTAATATATAGGAAGAGGAAGATTTTAAAAAATAACTAACAAATTTTTATTAATTAAAATCCAAATGAAATAAAATTTACTTATCATATTAATCCAATATATAATGTCTACAAATATAATTATCATTAAAGAATATATGAAAAGATTTGGTTGATGCATGTGAATTGTAAAAGTAAATGGAAAAGATAACGGAAGTTATAACGGTTACGGTATTTTTGTTCAAAAAATTGTATAGTGCAACTCTAAAAGCACAATGTACCAAATGATTAGCACTAAAAATATGGACATAAATTAAGAATAAACATTGATTGAGACATATTATGTTTTTGGATAATAGCGGCAAGTGCAGGCATGGGGTGTTTTCCTATGCCCTTTGCAATTGTGAACAAGAATATATATATATATATATATATATATATATATATATATATATATATATATATATATATATATATATATAAATCCAGTTCAGGTGCGGCGGTGTCTTACGGTGCGACGATCTCTTACGGTGCGGCATCACCAATAATTCAACAAATATGCACCATCAACGTTAGGAAAATACACCACAAAAACAGAGTAAACAGAGCCCCGCATCACCAAACACATACCATTAGGTGTGAGTAAAAACACCATACACTATTCGGAAATACACCATTGGGGATAGTGAGTTATATGGTGTATTTTTTTGAGTCTGTTGTGTATTTTGTGATGTTTTATTGCATTTCACTGTGGTATGTTTTTCTTACACTGTTGGTGCATATTGTTAACACTGTTGGTGTATTCTGGAATTCCGCCGCACCGCCGCATGGGAAGACCCCGCCGCATTTGAACTTTATTCTATATATATATATATATAGGGTCAGGTTCCTGTGAGGTAAGGTCTTCCCGGTTAGTGCGGCATACACCATTAGGTATGCATAAATGCACCACACAGTGTTCGTAAATACACCATTATGTGTGGTGTATTTTTTTTTGTGGTGTATTTTTGGACATTTCATTCTGGTATATTTTCGTACACTGTACGATGAATTTATACATACCTAATGGTGTATGCCGCACTGACCGCACGGGAAGACCTGACCTCAAAGGAACCAAAATATATATATATATATATATATATATATATATATATATATATATATATATATATATATATATATATATATATATATATATATATATTCAAAATTAAAAAGTGCGAGTACAAAATCTCTATCAAAAAATTATCAGATTATTCACTTAGCTTGCTTTATACTTGAATGTTTAAGTGAAGGGCTTTCGAAATGCAGTTTGTTTGTTCTCCCATGAAGGGCTCATTTGTTGCTTAATCTTCATTGAGGGCTCTCAAATTGGTTTGATCTTCAGTCCACTTTAGCTTAGCTTGAACACTTCAGTCCACTTTAGCTTAGCTTGAACACTTGAGTATTTGATCTTCAATCCACTTTAACTTTGCTTAATCACTTGTATGTTTGATCTTTAGTCCACTTTAGTTTGGCTTAAACACTTGAATATTTTATCTTCAATCCAGTTTAGCTTATAGCTTGATCTCTTGGATGTTTGATCTTCAATCCACTTTAGCTTAGCTTGAACACTTGAATATTTAATCTTCAATCCACTTTAGCTTAGCTTGAACACTTGAATATTTGATCTTCAATCCACTTTAGCTTAGTGATTTGATCTTCAATCCACTTTAGCTTGGTTTCGTCTTTAATCCACTTTATCTTAGCTTGATCTTCAATATGTATTGAGCTTCTCTATGACTTCTAAGGGATGTCTTCAACTTTTCAAATGTGTTCTTTGGAATGAATGGAGGGCTCTATTTATAAGGGAGAATATGGGAGACTTTAATTAGAACTCAAACTCTTAAATATTATCCTTCTATTATCAATTAATAATTAGGATTATCCAAAATGTATCTAATCACAATTGCATCCAGGTTCATGACCTTATCCATATTTAAATTAAATAATTAATTAAAATATATGAATATCTTATCACATAATTAAATTCAATAATTCAATAATTAATTTAAATATATAAATATTTTCTTGTTGGGCCAAATATGAATTAGTCCATCCTCATTATTTGCTGGCTTCATTTAACAAGTCTAATTGACATAATTTGAGCCTACCAGCCTTCAATTATATTTAATTCGGACAATTTGACCAACTTAATTTGGTAATTTAATTAATCTAAATAAATTAATAATTAGTCTAATTATATCGAAACGAAGCCCAAAACATATGGATCAGCCATTTTTCCCCATTAATTTTTCGCTTCCTACAGCTATAAAAGATGCGGTCTTGTGTTTATTGTATTTGTGATCTTTATTTTTGTATTATGTTTGAATTGATTTTTTATTTTTTTTTACAAATGGGGTATAATGCTTTATTAATTAATTTCTTTATGGGGAACCCAATAGAGTAGCTCAAGTGGCAAATGAGCTCTTTTTGTAGGGGAGAATTTTAGGATAACCCGGGTTTGATTCCTACAAGTGATGATTCCTTTTGGGCCAGCTTCTATGTCTCTCGAAGCGAATCTGGCCCGGACTATTAAACAGACAGAGAAAGACTCGGACCACAGTGTGGTTTACACCAAAAATAAAAAAATAATAATAAAAAAATAAAATAAAAAAAAATAAATCTTAATGGGTGATAGTTTCTACGTGGTTTTGAATTTGTTTGATATCAATGATCGTGATCTGATCTTGATCATCCTGTTGAGCACTCAGTTTGTTTGTGGCAAACAATTCTGTGCTTAGGATGACAAAAGTAATTACACCTTGAAGAGCTGCTATTGGTAGGGCATACTGATTGGACTAAGATGTGGTATACTCTGGTATTATGATATTCCTAGAAAGGTGGAATCATGTTTACCTACGGCTGGCTCACTAAAATTGAGATGAGTAAATATTTTTCATATTTGCTACTTGTGCTCTATGGTTGCAAATTCTATTTTACACTTATTTCTGGTAGCGTTGAAGATTTTTTTGGAAATGATTTTTGCACATGGCAAGACAATTCAGTTCGATTATGGATTGGATCGAGAAGATCTTCTAGAACTTAAGAATGGATTATCATTGTATGTTAATCATGATATGTTGGAATATTTGAAACACCAAGAACGATAACTTATGAAATAATAAGGTGATCTCGTGTTCAATCATTTTTCATGAGACTACAATATATATATATATATATATATATATATATATATATATATATATATATATATATATATATATATATATATATATGTATATAGTGAAAGGTTCCAGTGTGGTTGATTAATGTGCGTGAGTCTTGTGCTTAATGTGTCTGAGATTTGTACCTAATGTGCGTGAGTGTGTAATGCTAATGTGCGTGAGTTTTGTACTTAAGGTGTGTGAGTATTGCGTCTAAGGTGCGTGAGTTTTGTGCGAGTTTTGTGCTTAATGCGTCTGAGATTTGTACCTAATGTGCGTGAGTGTGTAATGCTAATGTGCGTGAGTTTTGTACTTAAGGTGTGTGAGTATTGTGCCTAAGGTGCGTGAGTTTTGTGCTTTAATGTGTATGAGTGTGTATTTAATGTGAGTTGTTGTTGAAACTTTAAAGTGCATGAGTTTTATGCTTAATGTGCGTGAGTTTTGTATTTAATGTGCGTGAGTCGTGTGCTTAAGGTGCGTGAGTTTTGTACTTACTGTGAGTTGTTTTTAAAAACTTAAGGTGCGTGTGCTTTTGTGATTAACATGCGTGAGACTTGTGCTTAACATGCGTGAGACTTGTAGTTAACATGTGTGAGACTTGTACTTAACATGCGTGAGGTTTGTGCGCTTAGTGTGTGTGTTTTGTGTACTTTAAGTGAATCAGATTAATCCTTAACGTGCGTCCACCCGCACAACCACACGGGAAGTCTCAAATACACCCGATCCCTTCCCTATATATATATATATATATATATATATATATATATATATATATATATATATATATATATATATATATATATATATATATATATGTATCAACAAGAAATAAAGATGGAAGAAATTGAAATTTCTAAACCTGTTTTGTTTTTTTGGTTGTCATTTAAAACATGATGCAGTGCAGACATTTTACTTAGCCACTGCTTGCTTGCATCCACAGGATAGAAGGGGTGAAAATAAACTGTAGCATCACTAAGAAATAAGTCACCAGCAAGCAAAACTAATGAGAGTCATCATATTGTTTAACCAATAATTACCAAAACTCTTTTAACTTGCTCTCTTTTTTGGGTTACATGGGATGGGGTCTGCAGAGCAGCTATAGTTGAAATGCAGCCAAAATTCCACTTTGGGTTGATGTAAAATAACAGGAGAAAGAAAAACTACAGATGCGATATAAGCTTTGCACTGCCTAATACTTCCCTCTTCTCGATTTGATACGGAACAAAAGCCGATGATCGCCTAAGAACCAGATCTTCCATTCCATGACAGAAGACATAATGTAAACTGGGGAGTCCCTGAAATTTGCAGTGCCCAGATTCCAGAATTCTGCATTCAAGCCTCAGATATTATCTTCTTCCTGATTGTGAAAACAGACTTATTATTCAAGAAAGTCGTATATCTAAATCAAGTTTTGTTTAAATTGTCAGGAATATCAAGCAATATGTGAAATATGAATGCATAACAAGTAAATCAATATGCAATGACCATGTATATGATCCCTAACATGAGTAGAAAACCATTGGAGGTGCAGGAAAAGGCTGTTGGATCGGCCTCCTATTCAATGGAGTTATAATACTCTAACACATCCCATATAGAAATAATCACCAAATAAAAACAAAATTACCAACAACATGCTCCAACTTTGAACTGATATCTCTCATCCCCATTAAACCTATCAAAAGATGCACAAAATATAATGAACCCCAGACACAGCTTCATGCACTCCTTGTGTGGCATGCTGCAAATTTGCAATTGCCAATTGAGATGAAGTCAGTTGGAGATGTTGACATGGCATTTAGTCACATTGGGATAATGATGCATCAGGGGTAACACTTTGCTGATTGTATAACAGATATATCTCAACATGCAAAAGCAGACAGCAGCTCATTCAATTTGATGAAACACCTAAAAAATTATAAAATCTGATATTACATGAGCACAGTCACACAAACATGTATACAATGCACAAAACACCAGCATCCCCCACCCCTCTCCACGGTTACAAACATTATAAGATCATTGAGACCGAGTGCATGGGAATTCACATCAAATTTACCTGTTTAATATCCTGAACCAGCCCCAGATCATAAACAGAACTTTCTGTAATGCAGTTTTTGTGGACTAGAGGACCCTGAGCAGGACTCACGTTAGTTCTTCCACTCTTGTCGCCCAAAGATTGAGTACTGACATAAACAGCACCTTTGAACATCCACTGATCCATTTCATCACTGAAAACATCCTCAAAAAGCTGGCCACACAAGACACATAAACACTGACTTTCATCAGCTGGAACCATCTGCACAGTACATTCCAATTTTTCGACAGGCTCCTCTTCAAAGCTAGCATTTCCAACATTCCATTCATTTGAATTTGCATACCACTTCCTGGAAGACTTATTCAACATTTTCATATCTGGAATTTTGGATGCATGCCATTCTCTATGTCTATCAAGTTGCTCCTTGAGCTTAAGTTTAAAACCACATATACCACACTGATGTTGTAGATCATCTAAAAGTTCACTGATCACAACTGGATGTGGCTGTCTAATTACATCTGGCTTAAACACAAAACCAATTAGATTTTTAATATCTCTTGCAACAGACTGCTGCAAACCATCAGAAGCTTTAGCAGCAGGTTTTGCAAGAGCTTGGCTGTCCTCCATAGACAATGAAGGGTTTTCTGAGGAGACTGGAAATGGCAAAGCTGTTTCTGTACTAGTATTTACACTTGAAAGACTCTGGTTCAAAGTTTGAGGAGGTACATGTGACTCAAAAGAAGTTGGGGACTCTTCTTTTGATGCAGTTATCAATCCCTTTTCAACCAATGTACTCAGAAGGCTTGACACTGGATTAGAGCCAGCACTCGCCACATTTGAAGAAGACATGGATGAACTAGCCAAAAAAGAAGGATATCGGCCAGGTGGCAATGGTGGCTTTTCCAGGTTTCCCTGGGAATATGTAGTGAGAACTGATGCATTCCTCTGTGAAGGCTCACTTACGACAGTGGCTGGTTTGCTCTTAGTAGAAGCTATAGTTAGTTTAACTGATTGAGATGACAAAGACCCTGCATCCTGAGAATTCAATCTAGGCAAGCTGTCAATTACAGAATTAGTGCCCAATATGCCACTGTTCATGACAGCAGCTAACAAACTGCTAGTAGTTGCTTGCAAGGGGGATTCTGCACCTAGAATAATTGAAGGGCTAGACGATGAACTGACAGGCAATGATGGCTCAGTAACACCTGGTATTTGAGAAATTGGTAGTTCCTTAGCTTGATCCAAATATTCAGCCACCTCACATTTTGGTTCTAGCTGCTGCTTAGCAAAGGGAGTGTGATCCCTTCCTTGAGAAGAATCTGATAAGCTTTGGGGATTTGTTCTTGGTGAACTACCCAAATGGGCATTATTAGAGAGTGTTGGCTGAGAATCCTGATAAAACCTTTGACGGGGGTCTAAATTCGACCTCCTAGGAAATTGAGAAGTTCTTGGATCTGGACGGAGTGTAGCCTCGGCTTGGTCTCGCTCTGCTACATTGAAAGCTACTTGATTAGATGGTGAGGGCGGAAGCTGGTGCATTGGTGACTGTGCAGAGGGAGATGCAGCACTGCGAGACTCCTTTTCTACAGCTGCATTTGATGATAGTCCAAATCTTGCTGTTCCAATAGAAACTGATCCTGTTTGTGGCTTACAAGATGTCTTAGCAATTGAATTCCCAGCATTTGACAACCCACTGAAAGAATTGCAATAGTCTTCAGAGTGACTTGAAAAATCTCTAGCAGACACTGGAGCAGTTACTCCATCTAATGAATGCAGCTCTCTTGCCCACAGTGATGATCCCTCACGTCCAAATGCTGCTTGGCCTTTGTTCACTATTGAAATAGAAGCAGCGGAAGCATCAGGGTTGAAGCTTGACCCAACATCCCTTTCACTTTGCAATCTCCGCAGCTGGGTCTCTATATCCTGCATTGGCACAGTATTAGCAACATAGACTGAAAAAGTATTTTCTTATGAGTTATGATTAGCACAAAGCAAACTTGCAAGACATCACAACAGAAGATAACATGCGAGTAGACAATATGAGGCGCGTGATGGGAAGAGGGTGGGGCCAACCAAGGCAAAAGAATCAGATAATAGATCTCTAATCAAATACTATCGGACCAAAGTCAAAAACTAAGACACAAATTTCACAACCAACAAACTTACCATTCTTTCAGAACCATCAGGAGTACAATGATCTTTCACCGTGATTTTGGCTAAAGCATGATTGGGCAATCTCGAATGGATATCATCCCATGCATATTCTTCTTCCTCAGAATGCTTCCAGCTCCTATTCAACTCAGTGCTATTTCTATTGATAGAATCTTGTGTTGCATGTAGATATGCTTCAGAACTTGAAGATTTGTGGGAGGGGTAATTTTGAAGTCCATGCTTAAGATCATAACCATTCCTTTTGCTGGAGATTGTACCTGTGGCAATGCTCTCAGAATCATACCATGGTTTGTCAAGTCCTTGTTTCTTATACTTTTCACTAGTTATTCCTCCATGCATTCCTGGGCGCCTTGATATCTCAGAACCATATTCAGAATCTGCATATGCCACATTTACAGTTTTCTCAACACTTAAGGTTTTCTCGGCTACCGGTTCATTCAATTGACCTTTCTGAACACGGTGAATATTCTGCAGTCCACAATATTATAAACTCACATACGGCTACTTAATCAACATGAATTTAAAACAAGATGAAATTTTTAAAACTGCAAATTTTACTGAACCTTGATAGAAGGATCCACCCATGATCTTCCCGGAGGACCAGAACTAACACTAGCTGTTCTCTCCAGTCTCTCTACATCCTCAGATGAGCTTACAAGTGTTGCACTAATGCCACCAGCATTTCCCTTTGCCTTTTACAATAATAAAGCACATGAATAAAAGGAAAGCAAGGCATTGAAATATAATCTGTAGTAATAAATAAATAAATGAAAAGCATGAAACCATGAAAGCCAAGAGCTTAATGAGAGCCCCACATTTCGCATTGTAAACACCACTAATGAATAATGAAGACCATTACTAACAGGCATAGATGCAGGAGATAGACATGAATTACAGTTTATACCATTTCACTGTAAATAGCGACCAACTTGTTTTAAACTCATCATTCATAATTAAATGTAAATTTACAAAAGTTGTTACTTTTGCTCAGGAATGGTTAAGTCGGTATATTATATTATTACATGGCTTACAAGAAACAACAATATGAAAGTGCACCTAAAATTTTAAAACTAGCTTCAAAATAAAGTAGCAGCAAAAAATCAGGTAAATTGACAACCATTTAATTTCAGAAAGCAAAAGATCTGGCTGGACTCTTGAAGTTCAACTTCTTACCCTAGCTGGCTGCTGCAGGCTCTGCCTAGCCTCCAAATACTTGGGATTGACATGAATACTACGTGCAGGACGTGGAGTCTGTGATTCATTTCTAGAAGTTGTTCCTGAAGATGAACCATTGACCCCAGTTGTAAATCCAAGCTCCTTCTCAATTAATTGAAGTGTTTGTGGAGGGAACACCCCTTTCCATGTTCCAAAAAGATGCCGCATGCCAGAATGTATTGATGGATCAACCTGTCTGTACACCTTGCAAAAAACCTAGAAGGCAGAAAAAATAAGTGACAATTCAGATGTAGAACCAAATTATATTTGAAATAACCAGCAACTCACAAAACTTTTCTCAAACTACAATTTGGTGTTTGTCTATGAAAGTAGGAAATTAGAATAATGCAGTCACTGTTGGGGAAAACAGCAGGGCAATAAACATCTCAATGATCTAACCTCTGGTAGCCTGGTAGCAAAATACTTAATATAATCCCTCCCAATATTCTTCACAATACTGTCCAAAAGATAGAGAGATGGCAACTTTTGATCACTGGGAACCTGTAAAGTAATTCCCATAGCTATATTAATAGAAGTGCACTATTGATTAAAACAGCAACTCAGAAAGAGAAGGTCTACTGTATTGATTCCAAAAAAACTAACATAAATAAATACAATATCTGATCACATGCATAACTTCTAGCAAAACAGTGAGCACCAAGAGAAAATTTAAGTGTCTTAAAAAGGGTTGAGAAATTCCACTATTCTGAATAAACTGAAGCAAGACCAAATGCATTCTTTTGCATATGAATCAAAGGACTTGTGCAACATTAATAGAAATGTAATAGCTTAAAAGTTATAATTGAAGTGTATATCTTGATAACATGAAATTGTAGTTATCTGCATAGAATCCCCTTCAAGATATAATGGAAGTGTTTATAAACTCTCCTGTAATATCAGACGATACTCGAAAGTGTGCACACTACCATTAAGGACAGATATAACCACTTTGCTGGCACTAACATGACAATGACATAACCACTTTGGTGGCATTGACATGACAATGTCATTTCCACTCAACAAGGAGAACAAGTTTAGTAACATAATCCGGAAATCCAACCAAATAATTTCAAATCCAGAATGAAATTGCAAACTCAATAATATGGGAGGCTACAGTCTCAATATTCAAACAATTCCATATCAACAGGCTTCATTTCCTTTTGACCATAAAATATGGAGATGCAACAATCTTCAAGTGCCAACTAAAATATTTGACTGTTTGTTAGCGCACTCAAGTCAGCCTTTTCCAGTAGCCAATGATAAATATCCCTTTTGCATCAAACACTACCAGGAGTTATTCCCATTGTAAATGTAAAAGAATGTCTCACAACTAACAGATGCTGTTTCTGCAACTAGGAAATACCCTATAAATTCCCAGGTCACTTCATTTATCTAAACATCATTCCTGGTGTAGCATCACAGTATCATACAGCTACATCTCATTGTTCCAAGCACACCATAATGAAACTTAACAAGGATGGTACAGAGTATCATATGTCACAACATTCTTGCACTGTGACAACAGACAACTTATTGAAAACAAATGAACAGTGCTAGCAATGTGGAGGCCCAAACATATGGCAGATTGGCAGAGAATGAGGTAACTTCAGGTTAGAACCAAAGAAAGAAAAGGAAATTGGAACCACCAGTACTGTTCTTCATGCATTTGATTAATGATTATAAACAACCAATGATTTCTCTATTCCTTCATCAATCCAAAGCCAAATATCAATATAAGCATCAGTAGCCTGCTGTCTTCATTGTTTTAAACACTTTCCAAAGCCATAGATTTGTGGTCACTTCACAACAAAAAGCATAATCTTAGCTAGCCAATTAACATGTCATCACAGGTAATGCTTGAAACCACAATTGAACTTGACAAAGTAAGCCAAAATGCTATGAAACCATGAAATTCATTTACTGACCAACACATTTTTACAATTATTTTACCAATTCACATACATACTCCAAGTTACACAGAGCTCATCTAACCTGATAATTGGGAATCTAAGAGCTTCACCTTTTGTAGGATAATATTTCCTATACAATAAAAAAAATATAACACTAAATTGAACACGTGCATTTAAATCCGGAATATCACCTCAATAATGTTGGCACAGATCGTGGCTGCAATAGCCTTGGCAGCTGGTATACTCTCGCCGGCAATGATAGTCAAGTTGGTGATTATTGGCTTCGAATTGAAGGTCAGCTCAGCCAAAGCCGTCTTATACTGACTGACCAGCTCCTGATGATTCTGTTGCTGCTGTTGTTGTGGATAAGATCCACGAACTGAGTCACTACTCTCTGAGTCTCCTCCTCCCCTCTCGCTAGCTCGAAATCTTGAGCCTACTGAGCCTGAAGCCATCGGCCGTTGCTGAACAACACTCCGTACATTCAGCGTACGATTCATAGCAGGATCTTCAGCTAATCTCGGTTTCTTCAGCCCCGGCTCGATTCTCGATCTGTCAAATGGTCTACGAGAATTCTCCATCTCCATCAATTATTCTCACCACTCAAACAAACCCTAATCCGCTCTATGGTACATCAATTACAGGGTTACAAAAAAAACCACAATAAATTAAATTAAATTAAATTAAATTAAATTAAAAAGTCTATAACTCATTCATCATTATTATGTAAATGAGAATTACAAGAATGAAAGACTATGAAACTAAATCCGATCTATGCATCTTCACATAGAAACCTGAAGCTGGTAAACTGCATCTCAAATCTCAAAGTATACAATGACAAATCTGAGACCCGGTAGCCGAATTGATTATCGGTTATCGGTTGGGTATGGGTAGATTGATTCGGGTGGAAATCTAGGGTTTCCTCTCGGTTGGGAAGAGTCCCTCTGGCCTGCACCTCTTAATATATGAGATGTACATTACGTAGATATATCATATATATAAGGTCCTGCTACTATGGGAGCATTATGCTTAGAAACCGTGTGAATTGCACACAGAATTGGATTTATAATTTCTATACTATAAATTCATAATTTATATTTATATACTATAGATTCACAATTTCTATACTATAAATTCATAATTTTTATATTATAGATTCATAATTTTTATACTATAGATTTATAATTTCTATATGATAGATTCATAATTTTTAAACTGTATAGTTATCAAATTATGAACATATAGTTCAGTGATTTGTGAATACAGAGTTCAATAATTGGGAATATGAATATTGAAAATTATAAACATAGAATTTTATAATTGTTAACAAATGTGTGCGTGTACCAAAACCAGATTGGTGTTAAAGAGTATGTTGTGCACTTGGGTTAAACTGTTTGTGCCATAACGTCAATAATGAGTATGTGGATGAAAAGACGCAAAACAAGTTGGTGTGGGCAAATTATATGATGCACCACGGTGCATGATCAATCATGCACCACGGTGCATGATCAATCATGCACCGCGCGTCCTTTTTTTAAATGAAAAGAAACGGTGTTTGTTTTTTGCTGTTTCGCACCCTTTTGCAAAAAGTAACCCTGTTATTCAGTGTCATTTTGTATACACTGCAGTTTCAGTTCAACACAACTACAGTTTCATTTCGATATAACTATAGTTTCATTCGATATTTATAGACTCAAATATGTGAAAATGTTATTTAATTTTATTTTATATACACTATAGTTTCATTAAAACACAACTACAGGATCATTTTGATATAATTACAGCTTCATTGTACAATATACACTCAAATATGTGAAATGTTATTCAGTTTCATTTTATATACACTGCAGTTTCATTTCACTATAACTACAGTATCATTTTGATATAACTGCAGTGTCGGTTTAAATATACTATAGTGTCAGTTGGTGTTTAATACACCAAATAAGCGGACTCCGTTAACTATAATGGCGGGCCGTTTCTTTACTCTTTACTTAAAGAAATAGCGCCGTTTTTTACCGCGGTGCACATGCACCGCGGTCTATGATATAACGACTCGTTGGTGTGCACATGGGTTGATAGATTAGAGCCAAGGCCGCTGCAATAAAAATTGAGGTCCTGTGCAATATCTTAATTTGGGCTTCTTTTTTTTTCAAAGTAATTTCTATATATAAATAATAGTTGTTCAAAAAATTGTGTCAAATAAAAGCGAATCATTTGGTTTATCACTGCGATCAACATCATCTAAACAAATATCAACATTCTTATTATTTTCATTGTGATAGTGGTACTTATCATCGTTGTGCGCACTATCATTTAAATTTTTTCCAATCTCACAATCATCTTGATCTTCTATATGAAGATTAGCATCTAACAATTTTTCATTGGCATCATCTTTTTGCTTCTATATGAAGATTAGCATCTAACAATTTTTCATTGGCATAATCTTTTTGCTCATCTATTTGAGTTTTTTTTTGTAATAAATTTTTCAAGAGCTCCCTTTTGAGATTGAGTTAGTTGCTCAATCCTTCTTTTCTTTTTACGCTTGCTTCTCAAACCCAGATGAATATTTTCTATAAGACATAAAATCCTAAGAAAAAATAAAAGTTTATTTAGAAACTCTATCAATAAATAATTAATCAAGAAACGAATTCTTGAATATATTATTCTGAAATCAGAATTATTAAGTCATGTAAATAAAATAATAAACAAGAATTATGAAACAGTACGTAATTTTAATTACCTGTCAAGAAAGTTGAAGAACCAGTAACACACGAGCTGAGTTTGTCGTCTTTGCGTCAATTCACTAAATTGTGCTGCCTAAAAGACGCTAAATAGTTCCCTAAAAAAAAAAAAAAAAAGACGTCAAACAGTAAAGAATACAAAACAACAACCAAATTGAATATTTAAATAATTAAATTACTACAGCAAGTCAGCAAAGAATACAAAAAAATTAAACAGTAAAAAATACCATTAAAATTTGATAATATCCCAATTAATTTTTCTAAATCCTAATTCGTAATCTAGCAATTATAAAAAAAAAAAAAAAAAAAAATCCAAATCTAAGCACTACAACAACTCAAATTTAATATTACAATTCTTTCAATTACCTAGGTAAATTTTTAATTGTTGTAGGCGGTAGGCTTGTAGTCTCTTTTTGTCTGCACTGTACAGCTAATCGCTAGATTAGGGATTGGATTTAGGGTAGGCTTTGTATTCTTTAACTATCTTTAACTTTGTCGCTACTTGCTTCAAGCTTTGTTCGAACTTCAAACGCACTCTACCGACTTCCGCTAGATTAGAGATTTAGGCATTCAGGTTTAGCGTAGGATTTTGTATTCCGCAGTTGCGAGCCATATATACATTTTTTTGCAGATTATGTTTTGCAGTGGGTGTATATGAGCAATTAGTGTAAATTATAATCTTTACATTATTTGTCGGGACTCTCCTGGAGAAGCAAGTTGTAGTAATTTGTTCGAATTTAGACATTTAGTAGACATTCTTACACTGCCTTTTAATGAGATGAATCTTATAGTTGGAGTAGTTCCTTTTTTTATTTTTATTATTATTTTTTTTATTTTAAATGCCTTCGTGTATTTGTGGAAAACCATTTCATGATTTTCATTTATTATGTAATCCTTTCAAAATCGATTGTTATTCACATATTCACATTTTCTTCTACTTAAACGGGAAATGTAAGGGCATATTATATGCTTGCATTATGACCATTCCAGACTGAGGCTTGTGATTCAGAAGCTGAAATTGAGCTTTTGGGGATTTTAAAATTAATTAATTTAATGTCTTAAAAAAGCTTTCAGTGATATTCATCTGTTGAGATATTTTATTTGTCTTAAGAAAGCTTGTTATTTGTAATCATTTGAAAAAACCAAATTGATGAGATACTGTTTGTTGGTTATACAGGCTAAAGGTTGTGAAACAGAATGTTATGTGAGCTATTAAGAGGAAAGCAAAAATGAAGAAATTAGCTTTTCAATCAATACATACCACCCGTGTCATGCTCTCCAAGCTTTTGAGTTGTCTAAGTCTTTGAAGATTCAAAATACTATAAAGAAAAGTCATGACTATCAATTCTCATTGAGGGTGAAAAATGATATTCATCGCCTAGTGATGATGTAAATGGGCAATTTCCTTTTGCATGAAACCGTCATATTGAATAATCTACTATGTTGCTTTAATTTATATTTTTCATGTAAAAATAATTTTTAGTTATGTATGCAGTTCAATTATATGTAGACGGTTGCACATGAATATTGTTTGATATTATTTGACAAATATTTGTTATAATTGATTTTATTTTCAATGAATGTGTATATAGAGTTTTTTTTTTTTTTTTTTTTTTTTTGGTTGCAATGCAAATTTGAATGTAGAGATTTACAAGAAAAAACATAATTTAATGAGGATTATAAAAATAAAAACTAAAATACAATGAAAATTTTTAATGGCAGTTCAAAAATGTCATTACAATTAGATAAGAAACAATTTAAAAATTAAAGCATAATTTAGTGACGGTTTTATAACCTCCACTAAAATTTAATGTAAAAAAAAAAAGTAGCGGTTATGTAATTGTCGCTAAATTCTAAATAAAAATAACTAATTATTCACCGCGGTTACAAAACCACCACTAAATACATTTAAAACCGCAGCTAAACATCATAAAAACCGTCGATAAATGCCTTATTTCGTGTAGTGATCATGTTGTTTACTTGTCTTTTTGTTTGAAATGATCCCTGACTAACATCTTCACACTTCTCAATCTATCTCAATAAATAAGATAAACTAAATGCTAGCATTCTCATCAATATTATATATATTTAAAATATTTTTATTATTTACAATTTTATCAAACACTCCCTTTGATTTTTTTTTTTTTTTTTTTTTTTTGATGGGAATGTTATAGCTTCCATTTCACCATTACAATTAGCATTTTGGAATACATCTAAACAATTTTACCATTCATATGAAACTACACTAGAAATTTTCATAGTGATGAGATATAATTAACTCAAATGAATAATGATGGCCTTTCAAAAACAATGGATAATAATGAAAGATGATTATATTTCTTGTAGTAAATTTTCTATAATAAAATTATGGTGTTCATCTTAATTGTGTTTCATTAATTTCCAATATTTTCTATGAAGTCCTACATATTGGCATTCCCCGTCCTTCGATCCGAGAGTTCAAGGCCCAGGATGAGGCGTAGACTAGGTATTTGATAAAATGTCTTAGTCACACTCCCAAGAGTGAGTCATAGTTGCTGTTAGGAATAATTTTAATATTGTTTTGATGAACCAAAATTGTAATATTAGAATTTTCCATATTTTATTTTGAGTCTAGCTTACCAACTTCTAAATTGACCTGAACCAAAAATCCTACGAATTTCTAAGGAAACTAGAAACCTTAAGAATCTTGGTACTTATAATATATTTGCAGCTATGGTACTAAAAAGTGTTTAGGTCAATGGTGGGCATGGTGATAATTCCCTTGAGATCTAGTGTTTGAATTTTGCTTCAAACATTTTTGGAGTTTCACCCAAGCACTAGACGGGGAGGTGATGCTCCAGACGCAGAGACTAAGGAAAGATGAACTATGAAATTTCTACCGAGGTTTCAATACAACATTTTTGCAGAAGAAAATGACTGATATCCTGAACGATAAACACACTATTTTAAAAGCAAAGGAAGATGTCACACTATTTTAGTTGAAGAAAGAAGATGCCACACTATTCTAGTTGAGAAACAAGAGGTCACGCTTCTCAACAGGTCACGCTTTTGGAGGTTATGGTTTGTTCTAAAAGTTACGGTTGAATCAAAGACAAAGAAGGGAAAAATGGAACAAAGGAAGTAGCAAAAACTCAAGTGGCACAATTGGCAGAAGAGTTTAATAAGGAAAATAATTTCAAGGGTACAAGGTTTAAAACCCCATGATACCATATTTTTAAGATGCTACAAATACCCTAAGGAGGAGGTGACACTATTCCTTAACCCTACAGAGGAGGCCGACCTTTGTTTTTAAAATGTAGCCTCCACCATTTTAATCCTTTAAATTGTGTCTTTTTTCCAAGATTAAATATGTAACCTTCAATACATGAATTCTTCTAGAATTAATTTGAGACCATAGCTCAAATTAATTTTTCCTTGCTTAACTTCATGTAGTATCATTTTCTTTTTCTTGAAATAATTTTCTTGGACTTGTTGAGTGTGACTCAAAATTATAAAATAAATAGGGGACTAAATTTTATCCTAAAATACATTTTGACCCATCAAAATCTAATTACAAATTATTCCTAACAACTTCCCTTATTTTTTTTTTTTTATGATGCCAACACCTATACTCAGTCGTTTGGCTTTGTCTTAAGAAAAAATTTGATACTTGAATATTTATTTTATTTGACCAGCCTCAGATGAGTTTAACAAAAACAAAGACATAGAAGAATTGTTTTCAGACATGAAATTCCTAAACGCATTTGAGACTAATCTTGAATTTTTGTTGAAAATATTCTCAAATAAGCGATTGTTACATGCTAAGTCCAAATAAATTTCTTAAGACACACAAAACTCATTATAATAAAGAAACATATAGATTAAGAGCCGAATCATCATTTGTCACATGAAATATTTCATAAACCAAGTTTAAAACACATTACATTACCAAGATTACCTGTAAAACTTTTCAATTCATGCATCATGTACTGCTCATCAAAGACATAGACCATCGTCCTTCTTAGAACTTCGGCTTCCTTTCTTTTTTGAGTACAGAGGAAGGGCCAATCCCCGGGAGCAAAAAGCAAAACACTACCTAGTCCCCTCTAGCGGAGGGCATCCCCCCGGCATCACATTGGATAATCCTTCTTAAGTCTCCAGGGGGGCAGGTCGAAAGCAAAACAAAATTTCATCGGCTGCTTGGTTTTGTTCCCTCAAAACATGGAAGCATTTAACGAGCCAGTTTCTTCTCATCCAATTCTTACTCTCGGCAATGATGTTGTTCAACGACCTACCAACTCTAGCTATGTAATTTGGATCATTAATCCACCTTATGACATTGGCCGAGTCACTGAAAATGCAGATTTTAGAGAGGCCAAGTTGATTCGCCACTTTAAGGCCATGAAGAATAGCCCATGCCTCCGCCTCATCCGCATTACAATCGCCCAAATAGCTTTGGAAACCCGTGAGCCAACTGCCGCTCCTATCTCTGAGAATACCCCTGCATCTTGCTGATTTAGTCTGCATATTACAACTGCCATCCACATTAACCGCGATCCAATCATCCTCCGGTCTTTCCAGCTCAGTATCATCCTAGGCTGACTTCTAGGATTGGTACAAAGCAGAGAGGTGGAGGCCATTGCACTCTGAATCTCTTTACATTGACGCCTTATCCAAGCCAACTTCTGGAACGGGTGTGTCTTTTCGGCTTCCTTTCTTAATTCATCTTCTAGTTTCCTATTTTTATTTTGAAAGTGGTAGACTTAGGGTGACTAGTTTGATTAGGAATTATGTCAATACCAGACTCACTAACATTTTGGACAATGTCCATCACATTAGAATCAATAGGATCAACATTTTCAAGTTCAATATCAGATTTGGACACACAGGTTCATCAACAACAATTTCAGACACCTTAATATCAGTTTCAAAAGGATCAATTGACTCGGTGTGAATATATGTAATGGAGTAGGAACATGGATATTTTAGAGACTCAGAAAATAAAGGATCGAGGGGCACATTTGCCAACTGACTCGCAGTAGCATGCATTTCACCCAAATTTGCAAGAGTATATACAGGTATGGGTTCAGATTTCTCAATATTTTAAGACATCAGAAACTGGATAGAGGGAACAGATTCAATATCAATAGTCAAACTAGGTGACTCAAATACAAACATGGAAACATTATCAGCAGGTAAAGCATGCGATTCAAACACAGATATAGGCAAAAATATATTCTTAGATGACTTAGGTTTCTCAGGAGAAAGATCAATAACAGGAATATGAACGTTTGACCTGGTTTGAGGGTTTGAATCCTCTGTTATGCCAACTCTCTGGCCTGAGTTTGAGCATATTAATGTGACATCTCTTTTTCAAGTGCTCGCTATCCAAAGTACTGTAGAAATGCTCCGGCGACATTCCCATCCTCTGGTGTGGGAATTTGAGCAGTAGCAACCTCTGAATCTTCTGCGATTTCCACAAGTACACCAGCTTCCTCAACCAATACATGGTTGATGAACTCTAGATAGCCATCTAACAGAGTAATCACAACTTCTTCTACCAACTCAGGGTCCAACTTCAATTTCTTCTTAGCGGTCATGCTTACGAACATTTTAATCATTTTCGTAGCCTCTTCTGGAATATGATTTTTTTTTTTTCAATAGCTTGATCATGGTGTTTCGAGTAGCATCCACCATTGAAGAATGTGGAAGAAAATAAAAAAACCCTAGGTCTGGTTTTTAGAAGAGAATGGAGAGGTCTGGTTTCGACTTCGAGAAGAGTTACGAACGAATGAACGATTGTGAGAGAGAGAAAGCCAAGAACCTTTGAAAAAATTCTATTTACACTACCTATTTTGCTATTTGTACCACCTATTTAGTATGTCAAATAGCTTTATAGGTGGTGTAAATGTAAATTTGTTATTTACACCACCAACATTAAATTTGGTCAAAGATTATTATTTATTTTTTATTTTTTTTAAAATTAAAAATATTTAAATTAAAAAAAAAAAGAGAAGTCCCGTCACCTTCTCCAGTGAGAAGGCAGGAATTGCCTTCTCATCGGAGAAGGCAACCCAAGTAGAAATCTACCTGGGTCGCCTTCTCTGGTGAGAAGGAGATCCACTGGGCTGCCTTCTCCGGTGAGAAGGCTTCTCACCAGAGAAGGTGACGGGACTTTTTTTTTTTTTTTTTTTTTTTTTAAATGTCTTTTTTTTTTTGAAAGTTACTGGTCCTATTACATTGTAGTATCTGTTCATTTTTTTTTAAATGTCTTTTTTTTTTTGAAAGTTACTGGTCCTATTAAATGTCTAATTATTCTATTTTATAAGTTTTTATTTTCAACAAAAAAAAAAAATTTGTTTCTATTTTCAATATATCTTTTTTTTTTCAATATATTTTTTTAATTTTCTATTTTCAATACTTGTTTTTGTTTATGGTTTAATTTTTAAATAAAAAATAATAATTAATTTTGTTATTTTAATATTCTTTAGAACTAAAATTTGTTGTATATTTTTTTTTATTTTTATTATAAACATATAATAATATTAAATTTGAATTGCTAAAAATGTAAAATACATTAACATCACAATAAAAAAATAAAAAACAAATTCATTCAATTTCAATCTAATATAACATTTTTCCGAGTACAATTAGAGCGTACATGCTCATTGTAACTTTCAATCCGATTCATATATGGAGTAATCCATGCATTTGCACAATCATATCTAAAATAAGCCCATTGTGGAGCAATAGTAGGCATTGGGTACCCTCCTGTCAATGTTACCTTAACATAATGGTTATTATTAACATAACCAAGGGCTATTGCTACATGCTCGTACCAAGGTGGTGGGCTAGATCGGAGTGGTAAATATGTTGTACTGCCGGCCATACTCAAAACATGTAGTATCACATTGTATCGGGAAGCAATTAGTACACCCATCTCCGGCATAGTCATCCAGTGCTCAACTGGTGCACACCGATCTTGTGCAAAAAAATTCAACATGTTATAGACATTATACCATCCTTGAGTTCCAAACATATTGGTATATTCCATCTTGTGAGACTCTAGTTCTTCGATTAAATTGGATCGAATTTTGAACCATTCGTCCTCCTTAAAACCAAGACATAGAGCTACTGCTCGAAATCCACAGTTTCCGTCATATCTCACATCTTGCACTTGCATGATAAAAGGATGGAATATAACCGGGAGTTGAAGAATATATGGATGGTAAAAATGTCTATTACCTGAATTTGATGCAGCTGAACAACTATTCCGAGCTGGTTCTTGAAATTGAATATTATTTGGTTCGACTTGAGTTTTTCTGAGAGATAGAGTTCTTATGAGAGATTTGTTTTTTGAACTGGGACGCCCACAAACATTTAATTGCACGGCTGACTCACGGATTGATGTTGTAGATGGCGCGATCAACTCCCTAAACTTTCTCAATATGCTGAATTTACCAGTTCTTGATTGTTTCTTTAACTGATCCTTAAACATATGAAGCTCATGCTCAACACCAAAATCCTCATTGGTTAGAGAGATGGAAGATGATAAGTCGAGCTTCCTCCAAAATATATCAATCGAATCAAGTGCGATGGGCTTACAGTTAAAATATGTTACCTGCTCGTGTGCACATGGAAGCCCACAACTTGTTCGCAATTGACATCCACAATTTTCAAAAGTAAACTCGCCAACTTGTGACCTCGCAAACTCATTAAAAATGAGATTCAGTGCATGAATAGACACAAATCCACGCAATTCTTGAAAGTGTGAAGTGTTGAACCGATGTCGAATGACAATTTTGCTTTGTTCAAGACTTGATTTGATTGATGTGTCTTGTGACTTAATGACTCTGTCGATATAATCCAATGATGTCTCCAAATCTGACTGTGATGACTCCAAGTACTTTTTTAAGTTGGCATGCTGACTCTCAACTCTATTCGTGGTGTGATTTCCAAAATTGAGATATCGATCAGTCTAAACAGATACAAACATTTCTTTATACGGTTGCAGCCAATTATCATCAATATAACCAAAAACACCTGAAAATAGGAACATGAGACTGAGACTCAACTAATGCGTTCCATGATTGGTAGAATAAATCCCAATGATGGTTGGATGGTATCGATGGCCTGCACTTTCTCAAAATACTTCTATAGATATGCCATCTACAAAGTAATCCTTTAGCATTCAGATACACATTTTTACATGATTTCATCAATGCCAACTCTCGATCCGTGACAATAACACGCGGGGTAATGCATCCCTCAATTGTGGCTTTGAGACAATTTAATGCCCAAGTATAAGTGAACTCATTCTCTTTGTGCATGAAGGCGAACGCTACGCAAAATGTCATGTTGGTCGAAGTTACACCAACCATTTCGACGAGGGGCATCGAGTACCTATTTGTTTTATACGTCGCATCTATCAACAACACATGTGGAAATGCACGCCACTTCTCCAAAGATTTATGATGAACAAAGAACAAATCTTCTAACTCATTTGTTGCAATATTAGTTCGACTCTCATGCACATAACCATTGTTATGTAAAAAAGACATAACAACTTGCATTTGAGTTTTACCTGCTTTCTCCATCATCCGAAATTTTTGGCATGCATTGTATATGGTTTTTGTGATGGAAACATTTTCCGGATTTTGCCTCTTCACAGACGTTAAAATGTCTCCTGGTTTCACATGCATCGCTGACAAATTTTCCACAAATTCAACTTCATTTCCTGATAATCGCCTTGCATAAGGGTAACCTTCAAGGTGCAACGCAAGATCATGATTATGTACTCCACATATTACCCTTACCCTCCAGCAACCATCAACAAGTATGTATTTCCACTCTAATTGGAATGGACAATCAATTTTTCTTGTACCCGTATTTTTGGATGAGATTTTTTTTGGCACGTAAGCACCACCACGGTCACACTGAAATATAACTGTAGGACTCTTATTCTTATTCCGGGACCTTTTAATCACAATAACATATCAGAGATCCCGACCTCTACTTTGAATCCATTCAATTAAATCTTCGCGAGACATGAATGCCTAATAAAAAAAAATTATTTGTATCAATAATAAAAATATGACTATACCTAGTATTATATATGACTATACCTTTTTTTTTTTTTTTTTTTTTTTTTTTTTGCCTTGTTTGGTTCTAAATAATAATAATAATAATAATAATAATAATAATAATAATAATAATAATAATAATAATAACAATAACAATAACAATAACAATAATAACAATAATAATAATAATAATAATAATAATAATAATAATAATAATATGGCGTGAATGACTACATGCATGTGTACCAACATATTTATAAAAAAAACACAGAAATTAAGTATACGTACTAATTAAAGCACAATATATACAAACATGTTGTTGCTTACATGCTTACAAGTTAATAATAATATTAAACCAAAAGAATATAGTAGAAAGATCCTATGCATATATATATATATATATATATATATATATATATATATATATATATATATATATATATATATATATATATATGTATATATATAACTCAATATGGAACTATGATCTGCGTATGAATTTTGTTTTACCGTTTCTGTAGACCATTCGCATGCAACTTCGAGATTTAGGTTCACTTGATCTTCATCTTTATTTTTATTGTCATCATAAAGTTCGATTGCATTTTCGTCCTAAATAGGCAAACAAATAACAACTCTTGATATATTAAAGCAATGAATTTTCTAATAAAAAATAAATATACGTACTTAAATTTCTAAATAATATGTAAAAGCAATGAACTTAAATTTCTAAATAATATATAAAAGCAATGAACAAATATACGTAAGTTCAATTGTAACATTTCAGTAACAATTCAAATAAAAAATTAAATTACCTCATAATGTTGTTGATTTTGATCATTGTAACTAAGAAATTGTCTTTGATTTTGATCATTGTAGCTAAAAAAACTTCAATCCAACCGTCCATAGCTTATAGATTGTATGAGACATATACATCACACACACCCCACATATATATAGAGTCATTTGAGTCCAATCTGTATTCTCTGCTGTCCAAATTACCAATGGTTTAATCCCACGAAAATCAATATTAACTAAAAAATATGTATTGAAATTATAAACTTAAAAAAAATAAGTATTCAAATTACAAACTTATAAAATCTATGTATTGAAATACGATATTTAAAATAAAGAGGCGAAATAAAGAAGGCAAAGAGGCGAATTTTAAAAAAAAAACACATAAACGTCACCTTCTCCGGTGAGAAGGAGTGCATTCTCACCAGAGAAGGCAACTGGGCTTCCTTCTTCGGGGAGAAGGCAGCCTAGTGGGTCGCCTTCTCACCGGAGAAGGCGACCCAGGTAGATTTCTACCTGGGTTGCCTTCTCACCGGAGAAGGCAACCCAGGTAGAAATCTGCCTGGGTCGCCTTCTCACAAGGCGACCCACTGGGTTGCCTTCTCCGGTGAGAAGGCAGCCTTCTCACCAGAGAAGGTGAGTTTTTTTTTTTTTTTTTTTTTTAATGTATTAATTAATTAAATTTTAAATTACCAAAGTATTAATTACAAGTTTGACTAGGTGGTGCAAATAACATTTTGACCACTCATTAGGCTATTTGCACCACCTATGTATTTATTATATGTTTTTAACTTTTTATATTTTCAATGTACTTTTTACCCCATTTTGGTCAAAGGGGGGTGCAAATAGCAACACCCTTTTCAAAATAATGTAAATTTCATCTTTTCATCAATAAAAGCTAATACGATTGTAGATAGTACTGTAGGCATACAAAGGATGTGGACTAGTAGCGTACGAAATTTTTTGGGTGGTTTACTAGCTGGAAATTTCTGAAAATTTTCGAAAACTGAAAAATAGAAAAACATAAAACATGTTTACTAACACAGTTTTCTATTTTGAAAACTGAAAATAATTTCTGGAAATTTTTGGAAAACTAGAACACACTTAAAAATTGTTTTTGAAATGGAAAACCGAATCATCTATCATCTATTTAGTTATATGTCACTATAACCACATTACTATGATTACATTCATTATCATCTTATTTTACTTATCACTATCTTTTATCTTTTCTACTTTTTTTTTGAAGGGACATATTTGCGTTTCATTACTGAACGAACATAGTAATAGAGTCTGGTGGGATCGAGTCCCAGTACATAGAGTGATACTGATCAAATGCTAATGATGCTAATGTATGAGCATGTAAATTAATCGTTCTAGGAATAAAATTCAACGAGCAATGATTAAATAAAGACATAGATGTCCTACACTGCTCTGTAGTGACCCCAATGTAGGACAAGATGGCTGAAGAGTCTGAAAGTATGGAACTCCGCAATTCTGAGCAATCCGTAAGTAGATCCACTGTTAACACGTCCCGTGCTCTGAGCCAAGATAGGGCCTCCTTGCAAGCTAACGCTTCCGCCATAAGTGGCGAGAGAGAGCTTGCTAGTTTGCTGTTTGTTGCTGCTACAAAGGCTCCATCGTGTGAGATCAAGACGATCCCGTACGTGGCCTCTCCAGTCTGCTGTTTGATGCCCGCGTCGAAGAAGCACTTCGGCCGTGTGTTCATTCCGTCGAGGATAGTAGCCGGCTGCTGCACAGGTTGCAGGGAGCGATGGTGCACCTGCCGGAAAGACTGCATAGCTGCTGCCGCACACCTCCAAGTCCGCTCGGGTCGCGGTAGAGCCCTTTCCCATACGGCCAAGTTCCGGGAAGCCCATATGTGGTACAACACGGGGACAACAAGACCGCACTGTTCTTCTGTCAACATATCAAACACCTCGGTAAGCCACATTGGCAATGAATGTGAGTGTATGCATAATATCCTCATGAATAGGCAATTCTGGAATAGTCCAAACAATTCTAGAATAATCACAAAATATGAGTGTATGCATAATGTAACACCCCGCGTTACGGCCCATAAACCAATTAATTAATTACCCAAAAAGAAAGATTAAAATCTCATTAACTAGGAAAGGCCCACCATAAAGCCATGGACCCTTATCCCTAAATCCAACCCTTAGTCCCATAGGAAATAGAAGTAGCCAATTATATAAATAGGGGCATAGGAGGCACCTAGAATTCACACCACAAATAATCCCTCACCACACAAGAAAGTTCCAAGAACCCCCTTAGGAGAAATCAAGAAAGGAGGAATCTTAAAGAAAGACCCTTCATAGCCAAGGAAATTAATTAAGGCTAAGAGGTAACCCATGTCTCAACAAAACCTATTTTTCTTGCTATAATTATCTTCTTTGGCCTCCTCTCTATACTTGTGTCTTGATGAATCGTTTATGGTATTGATGATATGTTCTTGATGATTGTGAGATGATTTTATGTGTGATCTTGATGATCTTGATGATTATAATAGGTTCTTGATGATTATGTGATGTTCTTGATGAATCTTGATGTTTTGGCAATTAAAAGATGAACTATGATTTTATTGATTTGAATATGATTAGAGCCCTAGGTTAAAATTGGGAATTTCGTATTGTGTTATTCTTGATATAATTGGGTGGGATTTCGCATGTTCGGGTGTTGATTATGTTTAGAAGTCATGATAGGATATGTGCTATATGATTCTTGCTTTTGATCCGTTAATTGTCTACGTGGTGTCATCAATTGCGTTTAAAAGTGTCTAAGCATGGTTTCGGGTTCCACAACGGATCCCGGGACGTCTATTTTGATAAAGAGTCAGTGGGGGGTAGGGGGACCCGCCACCTACCCGCTGCCCGAGAAGGGCGTCGCCGGCAGCGGGCAGCCGGCGGGCAGGCGACTGCCCGCCGGGCACCCGCTGCCCGGAGGCTTGCCGCCGGCGGGTGGTCCTCCACCCACCGGCTACCCGCTGGAAATTGTCCAACTCGGGACTCCGGCTTCCCCGTTTGATGTTTCCCCGACCCTCGTGGTGTCCTAACGGACTCCGTTTATCGTGCCTACGTCTAGTTTGATGTTTCGGATACCGTTCGTAGGATAAATGAGTCTTATATATATATATATATATATATATATATATATATATATATATATATATATATATATATATATATATATATATATATATATATATATATATCGCATGCTAGTTGAATTGGTATCCCGTTGGCCTAGGTGAAAGAAGTATGAACCCCTTAGGACTATTCCTAGTTTGTGGATGACCACGCATTGGTTTCTTTATACGTTTTCTTCCCTTTCCCAATGTGCTTATATGAGTTGCATGTGCTTGCTATGTGTTATGTGTGCATGATACCCCAATTTGGTTGCGATCAAATTGGTTATTCCTGAGCTGCGGTTTAGAAGCTGGCTGCGGTCAGAAGTACACTCTTGGGTTGCGGTCCACCGTTTGGTTGCGATCAAACGTTTTACATGAGCTGCGGTTCATATTCCTGGCTGCGGTCAGATGATCACTTTTGGGCTGCGGTCCACCGTTTGGTTGCGATCAAACGTTTTACAGGAGCTGCGGTTCATATTCCTGGTTGCGGTCAGATGACTACTCTTGGGCTGCGGTCCACTGTTTGGTTGCGATCAAACATTATGATGAGCTGCGGTTCATCGGTCGGTTGCGATCGACCCCTTCGTATTGCGATACGAGGCAGGGTGCTGCGGGGCCATGTCAGAGCTATATGCGCTGACCCTCATGTATGAGTATGCGATTGGTCCTGTGGCGCCACCAAAGTGTGCTTGTGTGTGATGAGATACGAATTGGGATGATGATCTGAATGAGATGAAGTGAATCTGTGACCATAGGATATATGCTAGCATCTTTATATGCTTGATTATAACTGTTGAATGTGCTTATCCCTATCTGTCGAGTCTATTCTTGGTTTTAAAACTAGTGTCTCCTAAGTATATATCTTCCTGCTTCAAAATGGTTTTCATATATCTATATATATCTATCTATAATGTATTTCAACGCGTTGGAGTGGGTTACCAGCATCTCTCGCTGAACAGATATATTTGGCTTTCAGGCACAGAGGAGTAGACACTGGAGCGCGGTAGAAATTTGGAGCGTAGAGTAGATAGTTTCCCTTTCGGTGCGTGCCATGCTTATGTATTTACATTATTGAGGATATTAGTTAGTTAGCCTGTGCACCTGAGCTCTCTAGCTCAGGTGTGGCATAGCACCCCGTACTCTACTATATTATGTTTTGGGATTTAATGAGAATTTACCTTTATTATATAAGTCTTAAAAGTTGAAAAATTTTGGGGTGTTACACATAATATCCTCATGAATCAAGCCACACATCGGGCATGCTGGATCTACTTCTACTCTTTTTATAAGCAAATTATTAGTGGTGGGGCAAAATATCACATACAGCTCTCCATAAAAAAGTCTTCCATTTAGTAGGCACCTTTAATTTCCATAATGTAACCCATTTACCAAAGGTTGCGGGGTTATATTCTATATCACCAATAACCCGCCTATATGCATTTTTAACCGTGTATACTCCTTCCAATACCACGAGTCCTCGTAATCCGGGCTAACCGGAATCTTAGAAATACGAGTGACATCCTCAGGAACTAACAAGTCAGACAATATATGGGGGTCCCAGGTATTAGTCTGTTCATCAATCAAACCAGCGACTAAAGCTCCACTTAATTCCTCAGGCATTTCTGTTTGGACCAATGGGCTGGGGTCATCCGGTATCCAGGGATCTCCCCAGATCAATGTATTCCTGCCATTACCAATTCTCCTCCTTATACATGAATAGACAAGACCATGTGCAGCCATAATACTCCTCCAGCAGTAACTCGAGCAATTTCCTCCTACAGTTGCATCAACAAACGAGGTATTAGGATAGTACCGGGCTTTGTATAGTTTCGCAGCCAGGGTGTTAGGATTCGTCAGAAAACGCCAGGCCTGCTTTCCTAACATGGCCAGATTAAAAGCACGTAGGTCCTTAAAACCTAACCCACCAAACTTCTTAGGGATGCATAATCTGTCCCATGCCTTCCAATGAATGCCCATTTCTGCGCCACTTCCCCACCCGTATTTGTTCATGGCTCTCTCAATAGATAAACACACACTCAGGCAGTAAAAAAACACTTATGGAAAATATAGGCATTGATTGTGCCACACTTTTCAAAAGTACTTCCTTACTAGCTTGAGATAGCAGGTTTTTTATTCCATGAGCCAATTTTCTGTCTGATTTCATCTTTCACATAAGCAAATACAACCCTTTTATTTCTGCCCACAAAAGATGGTAAACCAAGATACTTACCAAAGTTGGGGGCCTGTACTACTTGCAGACAATCTGCCACCTCTTCCATATTCAACTCCAGGGTATTTCTGCTAAAACAAATACTTGATTTATGAAAGTTCACCTTTTGACTAGATAATTCCTCATACCTTATTAGGAATTGCTTAATCACACTGGCCTCCTGGATATTCGCCTTGAAGAATAAGAGGCTGTTATCTGCAAAGAAGAGATGTGAAATGGGGGGGGGGGGGGGGGGGGCTCTCACCACTCTACACCCATGTATAGAGCCTGTCATCTGTGCCCTCTGTAGTAGCATAGAAAGTCCCTCTGTACAGATAATAAATAAATAGGGAGAGAGTGGATCACCTTGCCTGAGTCCACAGGTAAGGGTTACGGTACCACTTGGCATGCCATTCACCATTATTGTGTATTCAACTGTAGTCACACAAAGCATTATTAGCCTAACCCAACGATCATCAAACCCCATTACCTCAAGCATTCTTTCTAGGAATGGCCACTCCATTCTATCATAAGCCTTTTCCATGTCCAACTTCATAGCATCCCATCCTGTTAAACCACATTGCTTTCTATTCAGATAATGGCCTACCTCTACTGCTATCAAGATATTATCCGTGATAAGCCTTCCGGGGATAAAAGCACTCTAGGATTCCGATATTAAATCCCCCATAAGTGGTTTCATCCTGTTCGCTATCATTTTAGCCATAATCCTGTAAAGAACATTACTCAAGGCAATTGGCCTCACATCTGCTACTGTTTCGGGTACACACTTTTTTGGGATCAACACTACATTAGTATCATTCAGTCCTTCCGGAAAAGCACAGGAATTCAAACAGTTTATTGCAAATGTAGATACATCCCCCCAACCAAATCCCAAAAGTGCTGATAAAAACCCGGATTAATTCCATCCGGCCACGGAGCTTTGTCAGGAAACATGGAGAAAAGTGCAGCTTTTACCTCATCCGACTCAAAAGGATGTAAAAGACTAACATTTTGATCATGAGATACACGGGGAATAAAATTCTCAAACACGGGATCCTCACACATGGAGCTATTAGAGGCAAAAATATCTTTAAAGTAATTCAAGACAACTGTATTCATAGCTTCCCCCTCCACCCACACATCAATCTTATTTTTTATTCTAGAGATAGATTTTTTTTTCTTACGAGCAAAAGCATACCTGTGATAGAACTTCGTGTTGGCATCAGCGCCACGGAGCCAGTGTTGTTTAGCTCGTTGCTTCCAAAATGCATCCTCTTGAGCTTCAAGCTTGTAACACCCCGTGCTACGCCCTTTAATCCCAGATTAATTATTTAATTAATTCCGTTAAAGAATAGTTAAAAAGGATTTAATCTGCCTCGGATCCCTTAATTAATTAATGTGGTCCACGAAGGACCGTGGACCCTTGTTTATAATAAGGACTTTAAGTCTATTAGGAATAAAGAAAGTGGGTCTTTACTACTTAGATTCTAATTAGGAATCCTAGACCTATATACCTGTTAGGAATAGAAATGAGGTCTTTACTATTCAGACTCTGATTAGGATTCCTAACAATATAAATAGGGGATTAGAAAGCAAT